GCGATGCTGATAAATGGTAATGGATAATGGTAATGATGATGATGATGATGATGATGTTGATGACTATGATAATGATGATAAAGACATTAGTAATGGTAATGATACTCATAAGAGGAACAGTAATAGCAACATTGCTATTAATAGTGGTGATAATTATTACGTTTAATGATGATAATGATAATAAATAATGATAATGAATACAATATGGAAGATAGAAAGATGATTTTAATAATGATAATAGTTTAATAATGATAGTAATGATAATAATAATGATAATAATAATAGTAATAACGATACTAATAATGATAATAATAACCTTAATAATAATGGTGATAATCGTAAAATAATATAATGTAATAATGATGATAATCGTAATAATAATGATAATCGTAATAATAATGATAATCGTAATAATAATGATAATCGTATGAATAATGATAATGTAATAAAATATAAATTCAAATAATAAAAAATGATAATGATGATGATAAATGAAAATCAATAAAAAAGAACGTTCAGTTAGCTATCCTGACCCTGATGTAAACTGAACGCGTGTGTTTAATGATCATGTGAACAGTTTCAACTTTTGTTCAGTGGAAAACGAGGAGGATGAAGCCCTTATCTCTGCTTTTCCTCTTCCTCCTTCTTAATCCTATTCTCCGTTTGCTTCCTCCACGTTCTCTTCTTTGTATCTCTCTTTCATACTTTTTTTTCCTCCTCTTTCTTCTTCTTCTCCTTTTTCTTCTTTATCTTTCTTTTTGTGTTTTTCCTCCTTTTCCATCACTTTCTCTTATTTATCTATTTTTTTTTCATCCTACTTTTTATCCATTTTCATCCTTCTTTTCTTCACCGTTTCCTTTCCTTTGTTTTCGGGATTTCTTTTGTCTTCGGTCTTTTTTACTCCTCCTCCTCCTCTGCGCCTCTCCACTTACCCCTCTTCTCTGTTTTCTCCATTCTTCTTCTCTTATCCTCTCCCTCCTCCTCTTCCTTTCCCTCCTTTTCTTTCTATTCCCTTCCAACTTCTTTTCCTTCTTTTATTCCCTTTATCTTCCTCCTTTCATCCCTTATTCTTCTCCACACCTTACTCCATTTTCTTCCTCCTTTTTTTCTTGCCTTTTACCATTTCCTCCTCTCCTTTTTATTCCTCCTTCTCCTCCTTTATCTCCTCTTCTTCTTTTGATTCTTCTCCTCCTTTCTCTCCATTTCCTCCTCTCCTACTTTTCCTTCTCCTCCTTTCTCTCTATATCCTCTCTCCTCTTTCTCTCATTTCCTCCTTTCCTCCTCTCTTCTTTTCCTGCTTCTCCCTTTTTTTCCTCTTCCTTTCTCTCCATTTCCTCCTCTCCTTCTTTCCTTCTTCTCCTCCTTTCTTTCTTCCTTCTTTCAGAATGCAACGACGACGATCGAACCGTATATGTTAGCTAAAAATATATCTGTTTTTGTATCTTTCTTTTTCTTCTTCTCTTTCTGTCTCTCATTTCCGTCTCACCGTTTCCACCCTTTTTCTCTTTTTCCCTCTTTTCCTTTTCTCCCCCTCTTTCTTTCTCTTTTTCATCTTCCCCATCTTCCTCTTCTCTTTCTCTATTTCTCCACCTCCTCGCCTGCTCTTCTCATTTCCCTCTCTCCTTCCTTCTTTCTCTTTTCTTTCCCTTCCTCCTCATCCCCTCAATTTTATCTTTCTCTCTTTAACCTTTCCCCTCCTCCTCTTCCCTTTTTCTTTCTCACTGTAAATTTCCTCTTTCCCTTCCTCATTTCCCTCTTCCTCCCTTTCCTCGTCCCCCTCATCCAAGTAAACAAGTAAACAATAAAATCTTTCGCGATCACCCACATAAGAAAATCGCTTGGAGTACAAATTTCAGATTTCACTAAGTATTCCGCAAGATTAAAACTCCTCCTCTTCCTGCTCTTCTCCTCCTCCTTTCCTCTTCCTCCTCCTCTTCTTTCTCTCCTCCTCTTCTTCCTCTCCTCCTCCTCCTCTTCTTCCTCTCCCCCTCCTCTCTCTTACCAATTTGAATCGTCACATGATCAAGTCATAAAAGAGATAATCAATAATTATATATCTAATCGTTGTTCACTTACCTACCATCTTTACAATAACACTGAAATAACTAATACAAAATACAAATAGAATACATACGTGTTGGTGCAGCGCTGAGAT